CAAAACTATCAACAGCAAAATTTTTTTTTAAATAAGTTAGTCTTACCATGACCTAAGGTGGATAAAACTTAACTTAACATAGCCTAAATATCAGCACGATAATATTGTTGAGTGTTAAAATGTTTCTTGCATAGAGATATCTTTCGATAGGCTTTCTATGGTGCTCCAGGCTTCGTTGACGTCACCTTCGTTAGTGAACCAGGAGCAAATAGCAAATCGAATAAAATACACACCATTGATTTCAGATGGTACAAGATATATTTTGCCATCAGCTGTTATTTTTTCTAATAATTTTTTCGATCTTGAATTGTCTCCCTGTTGTGTTAAATTTAATTAAATTAAGTTTATAAAATTTGATGCTCAAAATATTAATAATGATTACTTTCAATTATAAAATTCTGATTGATTAAAACATATTAAAGTGAATTAATACAAATTTATAAATGATCAAAAAAAGTGATATAATTACCTTCATTCTAAAACACACCAGGCCTAAAATGACATTATTGACAACTTCAAAATCAGGATTTTGACAAACCAATTTCTCAAAATCTTTGGCAAGTTTTATGCTCTGATATAAAAAACACGATTTTTTTTACAACTTTTACATTTTAATTGAATAAGTTTTTATATTATTAAATGAATGAAACAATCAGTTCAATAACGTAATTCTCTCCTGGAACGTTCTAATGATTTTCAGTTCAGACTTAAATTCGAGATTTTGTTTGAGATCATACTAACAATTTTTTTACAATAATCTTTCATCGGTAGATTGACACAACATAGACTAAATATCAAATGCTCTTGTTCTGGTCACAGGAGCCAATTCAATGCATTCTTTGTCCCTCAAACAGTGGCGCGGATCTAGACAATTTTGACAGGGGAGGCTCAATTTTGAAAATGTTTAAATAATTTTGACATTATGACGGAGTGACCAAAATTTGGGGTCGTGTAGCCAAAATTAGACTGGCAACATTTTTTTGCTTATCACATGAATTTTTTAATTTTCTATCTAAAATTAAAATGGTGCTTTTTTGTGTGCAAAAACTGACTTTTTTTAAAATACTGCTCACAACAGGGACCCCCGACCTTTCTAGATCCACCACTGTCCTCAAATAATTTTTAACAACTTTTTAGGAAGATATCGAACCTTAAATTTAATTGATGTTAATTTATGAAAAAATTATGTAATTGTTGCGTTAGAAAGACAAATTACTACAAAAAACAGCATATAAACTTCTGCATTGTACCTTTCTTATGTGGTTTTGAAGTTGCTCCACTCCAAGCAACCTCATTGTAAACCAAAGTTTTAAAGATCGAAAGCGTCTACCTAACGGTACTTGCCAATGCTGCAAACAAATATTTAAATAAAATAGAGTTAGTGGAAAAAACATTTTAATAAGCAATTAATATTTAACGGATTTGAAATTCTTAAATAATGAAAATTTTAGCAAATTTTCGTTATATTTGATTGACGTATCTTATGATTTACATGGTGTTCTAACTTGAAATCTAACATTAATGATTAATCACGTTGATTCACCATCCAATAAAATCAAGAATCATAGCCAATCTACACGGGGCGGGGCCTGCTTGTACTAAAGATTCTTTCTACAGAAATTTAATACTGAATTTTTTTGAATGGGTTCAGCACTCTGCAAGAGCAGGTGGGCAACAGGGGACAGCAGGTGGGCAACAGGAGGTCATCCGTTTGTACAAACCTTTTTGATTGCAATCTTTGCTTCAACTACGCTCATAATATTTGCATTAATTAAAAACTAATTGATCACCTTATAACAACATTTGCTCTTTTAAAATAATGAAAGTTGAAATTAAAGATGGAAGCTTGCGCACTCTGTAATCAAGTACAACTTTCTGGTTAACATGCTGAAGGTACACTGGATCCACATTGAACGCTTCGACCATGAATGAACTATCTTTAAACCTAAAAATTACAGTTAAACATTTGGGATCCAAGTGAATTTGTAGTACTTCAAATTTATTTATAGTTGTAACATTAGTCCAATCAATATTTTTATGAAATATTGCAATTTTGTTAGTTAATAATTTTTAATTGTTTTGTTTTTTATTTATCTTGTTTTATTTGTGGTGTTATGTTACATTATGTTATGTTAAATTGAAAAAAACAAGAAATTATGATTGGAAAAATTGTTTTGCTTTAAACTAAAACTCACCAGAGAGCAGAACAATCAAAATTAATCAGCATCCATTTATGTGGATTGAAATTGAAAGTGTCGGCGTACTGCAAAGAAAACGCAATGCATTAAAATTCATTCAATTAACCACAGATATGCTACATTAAAATTTCTGTGTCTACCATTCATTCACTAAGTAAGATGTTTTGACCTACCTGGACCCCTTCCATCAAATACTGATACTCTGGACATATAAATGATGCTCCGGCGTATGCTGCATCCACATGCATCCAAACATTTTGTTCACTACCTGCAAGAAAGATTTCATGTTGAAGGGTGGAATGAAATGTCAAAAAAACTCATGACGTAATTGAAACAAACAAAAATGAAAAAGTAATTGAAAATATGTTCAATAGTTTTATTTCAAATAAGCAACTACCGATTATTCTAAAAAAAAACAAATATCAAACGTCAATTGTTGTTAAATAAGAAATTTAAAAATTTGAATTTCCTGGAATATATTTAGAGGGTTTTTTGCAAAATATAATCGTCCAATAGTTCTGTAGGACATCCTTTTTTTATCATTCATTTATTATTTATACATTTTATTTTTTCTAACCCACTACCACGTCGATTACTTCTAAAACAAGAATTAAATTCTTGAATAATTTTCGTTTTATTTATTGCCAATGTATTTATCGGATATTATAACAGAATCTGAACGATGTGACCGATAACCACAACCGAGACTTAACTGTTTGAAAAGTTGATAGAGTGAGGGTATTGAATGGGTTGTTCGACCGAGAACGATTTCTATGGTTACGGAGCAGTAATTATTCTGCATTATTATAATTTTATTAAATAAATAGTAAGATTAATACTTTTAGATTTAACTTAAAAACCCCGTTTGATTTTTAGACTTTTATAATTGGGTGGTTATTGATATTGTTTGGTGATTAATGATTATTGATTGATTTTATTTGTTCGTTGTTACAAAATGGTTGACCAAATTGTGCTTAACAAACTTATGTGATCTTTAGAATGGTGTTAAAGATATTTCTAAATTCAAATTTCAAAGTGTTTCAAGAGAGCGTTTTAGAGTTCAGGATAAGATTGATTGCAAGAAAATTATCGTGAAAGCTCTCAATTCCGCCTACAAAGTTCCGTCAGGTACTAGCAAGAAACAGGGATTTGTAAAATTGTTCGACGTATAAAAGTTTATATTAGATGTCTACGCGTGATGCCTGTCCGAGCAAACATGACAACATTGAATGATGTTGCAAGAGCGTACTGCTGCTTGTTTACAAACCAGAATTATAATACCTGATGATAATTGTACGTCGACTCTGTACAAAATAGTCGGCCGTCTAAATCACGAAAACGATTCTAAACAACTTTTCCAGCGGGTAACATGAAACATCATTAATGACATTGATACACCTGAAACAGACGATATCACCTCATGACAGTTGTTACACGTAAAAAATGTCAAAAATCATCGTTGGAATAATTAATATAGCATTAATTTAGACTCGGATGTTTCACCATATAACTCGGTTAATAACGTTTTGTTGAATTTTTGATTTATTTCATTAATTGTAGTGTTTAATCATCTAACGTTATGTTTGTGTTAATTTGCCAGGTCGGAATTAAAATAATTAAAAAATTGCAAAGTATGAAATTCATGTAAAATTGTTTTTCAAAATTAAAAAATAGGAGCAAAATTATGTTGAACCAAAACGATCTTGTATAAAATTAAATATGGAAAAACATAAAATTTGTTATATGCTGAGATAAAAACATATCAGACTTCGTGCGTTAAATTTTAGTTTGTTTATAAATCAATATTTAAAATTCTTACAAATTTTTCCGATTTCCGTCAAATCGTCGAAAGAACATGTTGAAGTTGTGCCTAATGTAGCTACACACTAAAAAATAAAAATGGCATCTGATTATGGTTGTTAATAAAACGATCAAATTGTTTAACTAAAATCAGAACACCTCACCATGGTTGGGGTCAGTCCTTCTTCTAAATCCTTTTTTATTGCTTCTGACAATGCTTTCACATTCATCCTGTGCTCGCTGTCGGAAAGAATTTTCCTGCACTGCATCAGCAACAGCATCACTGCCCTCTCGACTGACGAATGAGCCTTCATGAAAAGTTTTCATATTCTAAAAATCTCTATAAACATTTGAACCAATCTGTTTATGTTTATTTATGTTATAATTTTTCTAAAAAAAAAATTAATTTATTAAAATTATAATTATTATCCTTCTTCATCATGCAGATAGATGGCTTATTTGTAGATGGCCTCCATTGGGTCAATTACCATGTTGTATAAAAAATAAAATGCAAACTTTTTGAGAATGAAATTAGATGTACCTGATCAGAGCAATATACAACCATTTTTGTTGAGTTGATATCTTGAAATGACAAATTCTTATCTTTGATAACTTTGCTTCTTGCGGCTAATAGAGAAACCAATGTTGCCTCGCTTGCGGTTCCCTGAAATAATAACAAACAATTAATTAATGAGGATGTTTTTTTAGTGAGATGACTCATACGAAACATCAATGTTAAAAAAACATTAAAGTTATTCAGATTTGTAATTAAATTTACAATTTCACTTATTAGTTTTCAATTAAGTTTTATAACATTCATATTTCAATAGTAGTCATTAAATTTCGACAAGTGGGCAAAACTTTACATTAGAATAGTGCCTCAATTAAAACGAAATTCCTAATTAATCATGTAGTTTTTTAGTTTCGATTCCAACCTCTCTCCTGAAGAAAATTTTTGAAATCCTGGTTACAAGCATCACTTCTAACAAGGTTTCAAAAATTGCAGTAGTCAGACCAGTGTTTAAAAAGTCTGACCAGACAAGCAATGTTTTGGCCAAATGCTGTGAGCGGCAAGATTGCTGTTAAAACATCAAGTCTGCTGTAGGAGATTGCGTTCAAAAGTGAAGAGATCCCCACTTATTGCTTGTAATTTGTTTAATGATCTACTTAATTATTAATTCACCTAGTATTTGGTTTGCACTTTCTGATTTAAATTCTACATCGCGATTATGATGTATATGTTTGTTCGTTCGTTTGTTTATTTTTGGGGTGTATTAATTATTCATTTGTGTCAATTATTTTTCCTTATATTTTAAATTAATTATCAAATTAACAAAATCTATTCAAATATTAAACAATTTAATTTTATGAGTTCATTACATCAGTTCCAATATGCAATCACTTTTTGGATAAAAAAAAGATCGTGTGTTCATTTGCCATTTCGGCTAATGAGTTTTTGTTAGGTATTTATTTAATTGGTTAATTTTCATCCCTTACGACGAGTTAACTCAGACGGTAGTAGTGCTTTTTGTCAAGTTGTTACTGCGCGCACTTGGTTCAAATGTCGTCCGTCTGACATCCTAGGGTGGAGGCACGATGGTGTAAGGGTTAAGTTGTCTGGCACTGGTGTTGCGGTGACGGGATTCGAATATAAAAAAGTCCCATCCCGCCTATCACGTACACTGTTTGAGTTAATTGCGAGTAAATCCTGTTGTTGGTGCAGCTATAGTTGATGATTGGCGATTATCAGACACTCATAAGTGTATGAATATTGATAGGGGTAAAAAAATGAATAGTGATAGAATTACTATATTTCTTGATGAAACATTAAATCTATCACGCACCTCGCTTTTTTCAAATAAATGGATTTTAAACGGAAACTCATGATAAGACGTTATTTGTGAATAATTTGTGGAAACAAATAAGTTTCATACTTGTATAACACCTCCAGCATTAGTTGGAGTATAGAATTGACTTGGAAGGTTGATAAGCTTACCGAGCCACTTCATCATTTTCATCTCCAGTTCAGTGCAGGCTGGACTTGAGATCTATTACATTCGAAAATTAAAAAATAACTTTTAGGTATCATTTTTTGTTAAATATAAAAATTCCAATTACACTAGTCCCTTATTTTTTTTCATTCCTTAACCCTAGCCCGAACTTTAAATACTTATAAAGTTGGCCTTGTTTATTGTAAGCAATGGCGGATCCAGGGGACTGGGAGTAGTTTTTGTTTTAAAAGTCAGTAAAGTTAGTGTTTTAACAGAAAAAGCACCGGTTTTTTTTTTACAAAAAAGTTCGTCAGCATAATTTTGACCACATGTTGACCCTCGTCAAAATTTAAACAATTTCAAAATTTTGGCCAAAATTTTGGCTTGTCAAGATCTGCTACTGATTTTTAGTTATTAATTTTGACGATTATAATAAACGACTTTAAATGTACTCAGCGTGACGGTTTATGAGTTTTGCTAAAAATTATTTGATATTGGAACTTGCGTGTTGAACCAATATTTGATGCATTGACTTTTTTTGTATGTGTTAAGCAGGATATTTTCCTAATAGTTAGGAACCAAAAAGACTTGAAAAAACTCTAAATAATTAACGTAAAACTCAGTATTGACTCAGATTCAGTTCATAATAAATAACGTTTGAAAACCTTGGATCATGTTTAAAACCGATGCTGTTAAGACTTCCTAACGAATGTTTGTTTATTCAGGTACTACAACTGCCATTCTCAATCAAATTTAAATAAAATATTTTCTTCTTATTTTAGATATCACATTATCAGCACATAAATAATCATCTTAGTTATCATCTTAGTTTCATTCCTATAAAAAGAAGAAGGCTTCACCACCTGTAGACAGCGGAAACTCCACTAATATGATAAATGAATACAACCGCTTCAAACGCAAACTTTGCTGAACGTTATTTGAATACCAGCAGTAATAGAAACAATAAAATATTCCAAGTACCTACATAAATTACATTTACGACTTCGCATCGAACCTGACTTCTCTGCTTGAAAACCTGACTAGAAACCTCACTACGTAGGACGTATTTATAGCTGATTTTTAGCATAGATACAATTTTTCAAAAATTATAAATATAGCGAAGATAACAATAATAAAATAATAAATAATATAGCGAAATTCGATCATTCCCGCGGTTGTAACATTATCGACGAATGTTTGAATGAATGTATGAAGGAATGTTTGAATGTATCGACGAAGGTTTGAATGAACGTATCAACGATTGTTTGAATGAACGTATGAAGAAAAGTTTGAATGTATCAACGAGTGTTTGAATGAATGTATGAAGAAATGTTTGCTTACCCAGGAGAAGCCGATGCAGCCGATGGCGTCGGAGAGGATGTCAGCGCAAATGGCCGGATATGAATTTCCTGTCGGAAAGTAAGCGTGGAAGTGTGGACTGTGCCAGTGAGTGATCTGCGGATGATGATGAAGGTGTTGTTGTTGTTTGATGATGATGGTGAAGATGGTAATGATGATGATGATGTTTGATGATGTTGTAAAGCTATTGATTATGGAGATAAATATGACAAAGTTGTTGATGTTGTTGATAATGACGTTTGTGTTGTTGTTGATGATGATAATGAATATATATATATATATATTCACATATATGTGAATTGATGAGTCTGTTGATTATGAAAACGAATGATGATGCTGTTGTTAATGATGAGGATGGTGATGTTTATAAAGATGATGATGATATATTTAATAGTGTAAAACTTGACAATGTTATGAGCATTAGTTTTATTGTTTGTATATATTCATCAAAATTAGTGAAAACTTGACGTGACCAAAATAACATTTTTTGAGTAAAAGCAACATTTTGGAGTTTCGTTTTTGTTTCACCAACATCTGAGGCCAGTGTCTAACTTGATGCACCTCTCTCTATGTACACTTTGAATGTGAATTTTTTATAACAGTTAACAAAACAAGAGTTTTCATTGCCAGCGTTTGATAGAAAGCCATAGTAAATAAATTACACAATTTTAAAAGTATTCATTTTTTTTCAAAACGAACCAACAAAAAATTATAATCGGTGAAAAAATGTTAATAAAATTGTTGACCACTTTAAATGTGTTTCCATTTTTAGATTTTACATCCAATTTTCTAATTGCCTCGTTATGAACTGGTGTCGAAGTGCTTAAAGAACTCTAACCCTACTTTGTCAATGTTTTAAAAATTAAAACAATTGTAGTTGAAAATTATTTCAAATAAATTCCTTTATATAAATTTAAAAAATTTGGACACTTTTCCTTTGACTGGCTAACTTACTAACTCATTCCATTGCACGCAAGACTATCTACGGATAGCGTAGCGAGGCCATTCAACAAAATGTGCTTAATGGAATGCCCTGAAGGAATTCTTTTATGTGAAAAATGCTTTCATTCAACCACTTGTTATGTCACTAGTAGAAAGAAAGAAACTATTTATTAAAGTTTTTTATATGTGTTATAAAAGGTTTGAAGTGTTAAAACAATTATAATCGGTGAAAAAATGTTGATAAAATTGTTGACCACTTTCTATCAAATGTGTTTTTTATATGTGTCATAAAAGGTATGAAGGTTTCTGAAGCTTCTATTTAAAAAAATTAAATATATACAAGTATATATATTATAAATTTAATTGATAACTAATTTTTCATCGTTAATATTGAATTTAATATTGTTATAATACTCGCTGTCGTAACCGATTTACGATGCGACGGGTTCAAATCTTCAATTGAATAAAATACTCCAAACAGTTATTAGTTATTAAACTTTATTTACAGAAGAAATCAACTAATCGTTTATTTCTAGCAAATTCAAATTAACGCAACAATTAACTTTTAGATTGTTTAAAATCTATCGCTATGACAACGTCAACAAACAAATCAAATATCGCTTTAAATAATTCACCGAATCTTCTTGCGACATGCGCTTATATACTCTTCGCAAGCGTCGTTTCTAGATTCTTCTAGATGGTCCGATTCTAGCATACTCTAGAATGCTCCAGTCACTAGAACATTCTAGAATACGCTAGAATCTAATGCGTTCGGTAGCACGGTTATAACATTACCCCCTTCTTAGTTCTGTTCGTCCCGAACAGCTTTCGTTCAGGTATCCGCATGGTACGGAGCCAGTCTATCCAAATGAACGATCTTCATTCTTGCTCTCGGCTTCCGATATTCTTGAATACGGTAGACGACGTCATTCAAGCGGGTGATGACTTGATAAGGTCCTTTCCACCCTCGCTAGAGCTTTGGAGAACGTCCTTTCTTTCGCTGTGGGTTGTACAGCCAAACTAACTTGTCGACAGCAAAACCGCCACTGCTTCCTTTCAAGTCGTTTCTGGTTTTGGCCGCCTCCGTGTTTTTCATAATTTTAAGGCGTACGTAACGGTGGATATGGTTTAATCGCTGTCGAAGATTATCCACGTATTCTGTAAAATCAGCAATCAACGCCTCGGCTTTAAGACGGTCTTCTTGATACAAATTGAGTTCATCCAGTAGATTTTTGGTAAGTTCTTTGAGTCTACCTTTGTCAGTTGGTAGAACCTTTTCCTGTTGCTCCATATCTAATGATTTCACCAAATTTATTGATTGGCAATTGCCTATTTCTTCGCCTTTTTTAATTTTAATAGTGTGTTTAGCGGTATTCATTATTCTGACAGGAATAAGACCATTTTTGTTCGCTTCTACCAGGCATTTTCCAATGACCGCGTTCTGTACATTTGTCGTTGAGGTTGGCTCCATCAAATAGAACTGGTGGCCCCCAGGATCGCAATTCAACTTGCCCCATACGATGTTTTCAGATGATTGAGGTAGTTCTATGTCACAATCGACTGTCACTCGAATGCATTTTTCGTCGCTATCCCCCACTATCACTTCTGTATTTCTCCATCTAAGAACGCGTTTTTCTAAGTCAATTTTGAACCCATATTTTGTCAGAAAGTCGACACCTATTATGCATTCGTCGATGTTATCCGCGACTAAGAATAAACCTTCGAATAACAAGTTGCCTAGCTGAACAGTACGGAGAATCTTTCCATAGACTGGTGCTGTTCCTCCGGTAGCTGTTCGAAGGATGTATTTGTTAGAAGTCTCTTTCTTCAGATTGGGTACCAAATCAGATCTTAAAATCGATTTTGTTGCTCCGGTGTCGACTGTAATTACACATTCTCGTTGATCAACTTTTCCGTTCAGCCATAGGTCGTTTCGATTTCGATGTAGTCTGGAAACGTTAATTACGGTACTGGGGGCGTCAATTCTACTAGCCAACCTCTGCCCCACAAAGTTGGCTCTTATTAGCTTTTCCGCCCCTTCGTTAGATACAGGATCATCTTCTCTTCTTTTGCGCCATCTTGTCGCGCAATTTCGGCAGTAGTTATCTTTTAGGCGGTGTTTACAATCACGACGTAGATGGCCTTTTTCACCACAAATCCAGCATTGGGGTACACCATGCTGTTGAGGTTCGCGTTCCACAACCACCTTCTGGCAAGGACATTCTTCATTTACTTGGCGTAGACGTACGTCATTTTTTGATGCTTGCTTTGCCGATTCAAAAGTGAGACTGTGCGCAACGGCATCCTTGAGTTTTTGTTTATCTGACAAGAGAAGGGATTGCTGGAGTTCCGAATAACGAAGGGCTTTGATAAACGTATCCAGGGCAGTTTCGTCTCTATGTTCGGGGTCTGATGTCGGATACGACAGCAATGTCAACCGTTCGATATCTTGTGCCAGCTGCTGAATGGATTCACCAGATCGTTGCGTTCTGTTTCTAAGCTGAGACCGATAAATCTGTTTCATGTGTTCTTCACCATAACGTAAATCCAATACGCTAACCAGAACTTCATAGTTGAAGTGGTTCTCTGCCGGAATCGTCTGAAGAACCTCTGCTGCTGAACCTCGCAAGGCCAGTATCAGTGCTGTTGCTCGTTCTTTTCCGTTCCAACAGTTACTAGTTGCCGCTGCTTCGAACTGGGTTTTATAAACGTTCCAGGACATCTCTCCGTCAAATGCTGGTATCTTCAAAGTTCTTCCGGATGCGTGATCTGTTTTAACTCCTCTGTCTGTCGTTCGGACTGTTCCTTGATCTGTTGTTTTAACTCTTCTGTCTGTCGTTCGGACTGTCGTTCGGACTGTTCTTTGATCTGTTTTAACTCCTCTGTCTGTCGTTCGGACTGTTCTTTGATATGTTTCATTTCAGTTGACATACTAAGCAGAAGTTCCATCATTTTAGCGGTTGTAAACGTGCCTGTGCTAATTTCGTTGTCTTTGTCAGCATCATCAAACTTGAATTCGTCTGGGTTCTTACCTTCTCTCAGACGTGCTACTAGTACTTCTTTGTTGCCACTTGTGACAAGGCTTCGTTTCTGTAGTTGTTCTCGAAGCTGAACTACGTTCAAACCACACAGTTTTGACATCGTGTTCTTTTTCTATGAGTAGTAATTCGCTGGTCGAAGATCCCACTTCTGACACCAATGTTATAATACTCGCTGTCGTAACCGATTTACGATGTTCAAATCTTCGATTGAATAAAATACTCCAGTTATTAGCTATTAAACTTTATTTACAGAAGAAATCAATTAATCGTTTATTTCTAGCAAATTCAAATTAACGCAACAATTAACTTTTAAATTGTTTAAAATCTATCGCTATGACAACGTCAACAAACAAATCAAATATCGCTTTAAATAATTCACCGAATCGCTATTCACGAAATCACAAAATCACGAATTTCACTAATCACGAATCTTCTTGCGACATGCGCTTATATACTCTTCGCAAGCGTCGTTTCTAGATTCTTCTAGATGGTCCGATTCTAGCATACTCTAGAATGCTCCAGTCACTAGAACATTCTAGAATACGCTAGAATCTAGTGCGTTCGGTAGCACGGTTATAACAATATTGATTTTATTAAAATTTTTAAAGTCCAAGTAAACTGAACAAATTATAAAGTTGATGTACCTCTATTTATTGTCGTGCTATGCTAACCTAACCTAACTTAACTTAGTAGTGGCTGTGACCGGCTGCACATACTTTGCAAGAAAGGACGAAAAATACGGAAATGATTAATGAATTACGAAACTTGAACAAGCCAACTCCATTGATAATATATTTATTTTATCTTTTATTGATGAAACACAAGAATTAAGTCAATCAATCAAGTTGAGAAGAGATAATTTGGTGAAAGATTTCAGATACTATGCTTGTGTCATTGGCATGTTGATGGAATGATAAGCCATAATTGTTAAAGACGTCAGATAAGGGACTAGTATAAATGGTAAAAAGCATTGGTTTTAATACAGAGCCCTGAGGAAATCCGGTAGATAAACTAAAGACAGAGGAGACTTGTGTGCCAAGTTTAATAAATTGGAGGCGGTTTTAAAGATATGAATTGAGCCAGGACAAAGCTGTGTCGGCGATGACAAATTCC